GATATCGTCCTCTTTTGGAAGACCAAACAAAGTAGTTTCGCTTTCACAACGAAGTACACAGCCTCTCCACGACATGGCGGCCGCGACAATACTACAGCGAGAAGAAAAGTTACGCCTTCTTTCTTTGCGTGAACATTTGGGCGGCGTTATGCAAATCTTCCCAGATAGTGACGTAGATATGTGGGGGTGTGTTAGAACGAGCCGTTTTAGGTAGGTGTGGCTGACTCTTTTATAAAGAATATCTCTTTGGATTTGAGACTTTAGTCTTTGCAACTTTACAGATCTTCTTTATGCACCAAGAGCTTGTAACACTCCAAAGAGAAAGGAAAAATTTAAATCGCATCATATGACCCCTTTAAGAAACTGAAACCAACTTGTCACTATATTGTGCCACTGTGAGAAAAAAATAAATCCATTGCCATAAGTATTCGGATGGAACTGGTTTTCCAAATGAGCTTTGAGCTTGACCCAAAGCGTCTCTAATTTGGATAGGATTGGCTCTCTGTAGTTATTAAGGTGGGGATGTCTGGATGTGGGCGTTACAGTCATGTGGTCTTGTTATGGTTTTGACTCTTAATTTTTTTTTATGTTTGGTACTTGAACACACAAGGATAAAAATAGTCCTTTCTGAATAGGACTGTGCAATCCTTAGTAAAGAAATATGTATTTATAGCTGATACATTTTCTCACCCGCCATTGGCAGAAAGTTCTGGTTGTTTCTGATGGTGACTCAGACTGTGTCTCCCCTGTGTCCCTGACTGCAGGAGAAACTGGAGCAGCAGTACGCTCAGAGCTATAAGCAGATCGCCATGCTGGAGGACGACCTGGTCCAAACACGTGGCATCAAGGAGCAGCTGCACAAATATGTCAGGGAGCTGGAGCAGGCCAACGACGACCTGGAGAGAGCTAAGAGGTACGAGACAGGATCATATTTCCATTCTAAACTAACTTGGCCCTGAGCTCCTAAATTGCTAGACTACTTTTTGTCAAGACTAGCCTACGTGTCACCAATGCCCAACAAACGCAGGCCAAAATACATGGTGCAAGTGTCATGCTAAAGAGGTCAACATGTTTAAAACGATAACCTGGATTGAGCAGGGCCACCATCACATCCCTGGAGGACTTTGAGCAGAGGCTAAACCAGGCGATTGAGAGGAATGCCTTCCTGGAGAGCGAACTGGACGAGAAGGAGTCTCTGCTGGTGTCTGTGCAGAGGCTGAAAGATGAAGCTAGAGGTAAACTTCATTTCATTTCACAGCATTGCCATTAAAGGAATATAGCTGACATTCCCCGTTTTTTAATTTGACATGAAGCAGAGATTATGACTGACATTTCTTCACTATTATGGCGTGAAACGGCTTATTGAACGAGGCAGAGAAATGTATGGCACGACTTCAATTTGTCCATTGGGAATTGATTGCGGTGTAGAAGTAGCCACTTCAAACTAAATGGGTGATTGTTTCATGTGAGACATGTTACTGAAGGGGAGTTATTGAAATTAGTCTAGCTTTTGGACAGTACATGAGCACAAAAAAAGTGTATGTGCACAGATAAATAATTTATAAGAAACCCTACAATGTTCCATAAAAAATAATAATTGTCCATTTTGATTTCATGGTGGTGACTATAAAAACTTTCAAAAAAAAGTTGGTGTGTGTGAACATTAATATACTTACAATGGAAGTCAAGCTTTTTTTTTTAGTTTGCATCACCCTGGTTCTCAACAAAAACCCAATAGGATTTTTCTTTTGGATTATTGCAGAAAATAAGCTCTTTAACCAACAAAAGCTTATGATTCTTGTATGTTTTGTAAAGAACCACAATCTTTACAACAGATCAAAACATTTAAGAATTTTGAAGCCTTAATAAAAATGGCAGAAGTAAAACGCTAAATGTAGGCTATAAGCAAAACTACACCTCGGTCACATTAACTCGGTGACTTTAACGTCACCAAGATTCAGCTTCAGATAACTTTCACTCTTTATTTAAAAAAAAACAACATTTTTACCGAAACTTTTGAGTTAGAAAGGTTTCCAAGAGCATGTTTATAAACATAACAAGGCTGTAAATATGAGTTTACATGATGATGTTTAATGTCTCGACAACCTCTAGTCCCATTTAGCCACTTATTAACAGCCACCTTTTTCAAGACACACACACACACAAAAACCCAGAGTGGGCTATTACAAATTTTGGAGAGGAAAACATGATAATATCTTGAGTTTGTGTGAACCACAGACTTTGTTTTAGGCATTAACCAAAAACCTATAAAAAAAAACAAAAAACATTGACTTCAGGCTGATGGAACTGGAAGTGCTAAAATTCCCAAATGCTAAACTCATTCTCAGGTTTTTGCCTAAAAAATACATGCATCCCTGCAGCACTCTACTCTGGACGGAGAGTGAAACTGAAATGTCAAAAAAACTCAAAATGAATTATCAAAATGATCAGTTTCTGTGGTAATAAGCATACCGCAGATGCTGTCCAGTTTAAGAACAGAACACACAGCATTACGTTTGTGCAGGTTTATCAGTGCTAAATATGCATGTTCTTGTAGACTTGAGGCAAGAGTTGGCAGTTCAAGAGAGGACTTCAGATGTTGCCAGGATGTCGGCCCCCAGCTCTCCCACCCTAGACATTGATAAGACAGACTCAGCAGTGCAGGCCTCCCTGTCCCTCCCAGCTACGCCTGTAGGGAAGAACATGGAGCATCCTTTCATTGCTTCTAAAGGTTTGTGTTATTTGTCATTTAGATTAAATTTTTTTTTTTTTTAATATTTAAATAGTGTAAATTTAAATACTCAATAAATTTCAGCAATTTTGAGTATCATGTGTATTATATATCAGCATTTTGTGTATTGTATATTATCATTATATTGGTCACCTTGTTCTCTAATTATCATAACCACATTTCAATGCAATATTTTTCACTCACACTCTTAACAGTCTGACTGCCAGCAGTTACATTCATTGTATTTTTTTTTTTTTCCTTTCCTCCAAAGCGTTGACCAATGGCTGTGGAAGCTCCCCCCTCACACCGTCTGCACGGATCTCGGCTCTTAACATTGTTGGTGATCTTCTGCGGAAAGTTGGGGTAAATTCCTGAATGACTACATGCGTTTCACTTTAACACTTAGAAAGAACTTCTTGTGATCTCGTATCAGAATGGACTCGAACTAAAATTAGATGCTAATGCAAAAACATGGGATGTCTGTTTTTATGCAGGCTCTTGAGTCTAAACTAGCTGCCTGTAGAAACTTCGCCAAGGACCAGGCAGCAAGGAAAAATTACACAACAGGAAATGGAAGCCTCATCAACAGCAGCACAACCAAGTTCTCTCATTCGCTCCACACTACGTATTTTGACAAGACGTAAGTCCTTAGCTTTCTATTGTCTGCTCACCAGACCCACACAACTGCTTTCACAGCTTTCTTTATTAAAGTAATGAAGTATTTAATAGATATTAATTAGTGCTGGGTGGTATACCGGTTCATACCGAATACCGGTGTTTATTTTTGTTATGATATGAATTTTTAAAATACCGCAATACCGGTGTTGTTTAACGTGATGTTAAACAACGTTCGGAATGCGACACTCTTTGAAAGGGGTCCCTTTTCACTGTTGCACTGTGGTGAGGGAACAGCTGTATGTGTTACTAAGCGTGAAAGTTCCGAAACTGAAGCTGTAGAGCTAATAGAACGTGATGACAGAAGAACTCATCCACAATATCCACATTGACCGCCACAAATATCCACCGCCCCC